GCAGATTTATGATCCCTTTAATCTGAAGGTTAACAGTTAAAATACTGTCAGATGGAGACCATCGACGTTTAGAACCGTAAACTAGAGATTTTTATTAATCCAAGAGCAAAGTGTTGAAACATGCACCTTAATCTGCCACCGAGAGCGACACAGTGTTCTGATCAGCAGACCTGTAGTCAACACGCATGCACAAGACGTCAGATTTGCGTTTATTCTTTTAGTTTTGGACAAAAAATAAACTTTAAACTACCTAAACAGGCGTGTTTCCCTTTAGTCATGTACAAAAAATTTTTATTTAAGGTCAGATCGCATAAGCTTCAAAAAACACCAATAACTAAGTTATGAAATAGTTTTTTTTTTACTTGACTAAAGGGATACATGCCTGTTTAGGAAGTTTAAAGTTTATTTTTCGTATAAAACTAAAGGGATAAACGGGTATCGACTCTAGGTTTGCTGAAGCAGTTCTGTGATCGATAAACGGAGGATTCTGCGACTCTATGGATCGACGCGGCATCCGGACGAGCCTGGAGGACCAACCACATCGGAGCATCAGTGTTACTATGGCAACAGTGGCAACGATGAGGATGAGTGATTAGAAAATCATATTGATGGAATCCGTTTTAAACTAAAATGTAAAAACGAGCGACAGAAACCCAGAAATAAGAAGCAGCTGCAGGTTTTCCTCCATAACTTTCTAGTAGATCCCATAATTAGATGGGAGAAAATTCAAGATCAGGTATCTGTAGAAATGGGATGGAGCTGTAAGGGCCAATCTACTCTGCCTATTTCTACATTACATTAAACTTGGGCTGAAAATCTCATAATTTGCTGTTTTAATGCAAAAAATGGATCTAAAAATTAGTAAAGAAACGATTAAAAGAAGTTTATTTTCAATTAATTGAAGCAGATAAATAAGATTTATGCCTCTAAGGTGATTATCTGGGTTTAGAATAAGATCATAAAGTTGTTTTACTTAATTTATTCAGTTTAATTCAGTTAAAAATATTTTACTGATCCTAATGGGAAATATAATCATTTCATTTCTGTTGGAAAATTATCTTAAAGTTTAAATTAAAGGTGAAAAACACTCAGTTCACAAAATAAACATGAGTTTTTTTATATTTCAAAGTTTGCTTCTTTTCCGACCTTCGACCAATCAGGACGCTCATTTAGATCATAGTGAGGAGCAGGGGCGGATCCAGGATTCTAGGAGATCGGGGGCCCAGAGGGTGAAGATTTAAATTTTAATTTAAAATATGACAGATTACCGGATTAAAGACGTTTCTAGTTTACTACATGCTATCACACATAACAGTTCACCCTCCATGGGAAGAAATTAATACACCTGCAAATCTTTAACTGCGTTTATTTCTCTCTTCATCAACAAACTCTTTGGTTACATTTGATCATTATTTGCCAAAGTTATGAGAAGAAAATCAAATATTTTAGCCCCCTGATATTAAATTAAGCGTTCATTACCGAATGTTTTTCTCCCCTAATCAGAACAGAAAAGATCAGATTGGTTTTAATTTGGTTCTGCTGAGCAGTTCTTAGCGGTTACTATCTTACCTGCAGCAGGAAGATGTTTTCCCTGCATCCTGTTAGCAGAACGAGCTAACGAGGCTCAGCCTGATGGTTTCAGGCTGAGAAAACGACCGGAATTAGAACTTTACAGGAAAGATGAGCGATCAGAAACTATCGTTACAAAATCTGCTTTTATTGCAGCTTCTTTTGAACATTTCTTTCCCAAATCAGGCTCCTCTAGCATGGATGAGAAGCTTTCCAAACAAAACGATCTAATTAGGGATCTGATCCACCTCAGAGGTCGCAGATCTGCTCTAAAACGGAACGTTTTCTGTCCTAAATGAAAAACTAGGCTGAACATAGCAGCATCTGATGGACGTCCATCTTCACGTCGGATTTTCTGTCCCAACAAGTCAGAACCGGAAAAAAAAGCAGAAAAGATTCCAGCCTCCGAACCGGAGCAGTAAATACTGGAAAGAAAGAAAGCAGCCAGCTGATGTGAAATATGCAGAGGGTGACGGAGAGGACTGGGTGAGGATTTCAGGCCCTGCGGTTCTCCCTGCAGAGCCGAGTCCAGGCAAGTTCTGGGAAGTTGCTGCTCCGGTTTCTGCAGACTCACCTGTGTTTGTGAAGGATGGCGTTGAAGAGCCTGCCGTCCCTCCAGCTGGTGGTGAAGTTGTCGCAGCGCAGACCCTGGTAGCCCTCCACCATCCGCTGGGACCAGAGCAGCAGCTTCTCTTTGGCCGTCATGTTGTCCGACTGACCGTTGACCTGGATGTCTGAGATCTGCAGGGCGACAGCAGCAATGAGCTTCATCGTCCTTCACTGTTCAATTCTATTCAGTTTAGTTCTATAGTACCAATTCACAACCAGAGAATGTGAACGGAGCACCGCGAAAATTCCGCTCCCAGTTCAGGAGGAAATCCGCTTATTTAAAAAGGTCACTTTGCATCTCATTGCAGATGAGATAATGCGTATAATGCATGTATGACATCCATTTTCATAAACAGGCTCTAACCACAACAATCACTTTATAAAAACCCACTCTATATTAAGCATAGCTATTGAATGTTTTTATGATATTTTATCCCCCTTTTTATCACCAAATATGCAATCTTCGTCACTACGATTCCCCGGTAAAGTTAAAACATAGAGTATGACAGATTATAGGCACAGATTACAGCATAGGCATCGGCCTAGGGTTTAAGTCTAACATGAAGTTAAATAAGATCGGAGCGAACTGGGGCGGAGCCAAATCCGCTCTGCGCTCCGACATATTTCTTCCGCTCCGCTAAAAACACGTCATCTCAGGTCACTTTATAGATACAATACAACCAGATCATCCAG